TTTAAAGTTATTGCCAAGTTTAAAAAAACGATACCACAGTTTTTTGAAATATAATGCAGTTATGTTACAAACAACCAATTAATTTTTCTTTTCTGTTCAGCGCTATAACTCATTAATTTTTTCAGCTTTAATTGGTTACCCATTATCGGATATGGGACTTACTAGAAGATATGTAATTAAAAAAGCTGCAAAACCTTTAATCCTCGCTGCGCTAAGTAAATATTAATATAGACTTGTACTGGTTGTGCTTTTGATTAGTTTTAACTATATTAGTTTTACATATATATTTTCCAGCCAATCAGATGTATAGAACATTTCTTTTTCAATAATTATTTGATAATAAAAATATTAAATAAATATAACAATAAATAATAGAAGTAATATTCAATTATATTCATAAATAACACATATCATAGATTCATTCTTGTCATAGTAGCTCACAAATTTAATTATTGTTGTAATATTAAAAGTATAGGACTCACACAAACAAAAATTATATTTGTCAAGACTTTACCTTAATATACACTTCTTGGATAATAATATGATCAAATTTAGTTTTCAATTTATTGATTGATCTTAAATAATATTGTCATGACGCTTTTTGGTCAATCGCTTAGGTGATACACACTATCTTGTTACAAGACAATAATATTGTAATTAACAAGAATATAACTTTTTCAATTATTAAATAGTTAAATAGTAATAATTGACTGAGAGAAACATATGGATGAAACACCCTGCATGTTGTAATAATTACAATATTACTTATCTTTAATTATTACAATAAATAATAATAAATAAATACCTAGTAAAATAAGTTGTGCAATTTTTTTTTTAAATAAACTTTCTTTTTCATTTTTTAGATGGATTCGAAGAACCTTTCAACCGCGATTTAGCCGCGACGTGTCGTTTAATAGCACTGTTCAGAGATTTAAAATTCGACAATACATTTGTAAAATCGGCTAAGTTTGACGGTGTTGGTACTTGTACCCTAACAAGTTTCGATGGTAGTATTAACTATTATAGACTAAGGGACAACCAAATATGGAAAGTAGTGTTCAATGTACCTACTAATATATCAGAAAGATTACTAGTTGAAGAGGTTGAAAATTGGCATATTTGGTTGACTTAATAAAAAGTCGCAAACGCAGCTAAAACATATTAATGATTATATAGTATTTACTGTTGTTATTTTATGTCAATAAAATTTATATTGTACCTCTCGATTATCTAAATTATTTTAATGTATCTCATAAAAAACAGTTTTGCTCACGATTGTAAGCATATGTATTTGGTGTTTATATGTTGATATAAATTATATATGACAAAATAAATGGCACAGGTGATGTGAAAAATTTTGTTGGAAACGTAAAATAATTGAACATTTGGTAAAATTTAGAATTTTTGTACATCGCTGTTATGTGTCATTCGATTTTATAACTAAAAATATTTGTATTATAGTGCTTTAAATTCCAATCTACAGAGTTTTCAAAACGTTTTTACTCTCTTTCAAATAAGCGCATTGAGCGGCAATTTGAAAACATTGTTTATAAAAACGGGTTATTTTTATTACCGAAATAATTTTTTTACCTGCGATGCGGAGCAGCGATGGTCCTAAAATTACGGCTAAAAAACCCAAAAAACAAAATAACTTGAACCCCTCTAGGGGCGTGGGAAACGGGTATAATTTCAATTTGAGACTATTGACGCGTGAGGGCATACCAAATAAAAATTCCTTATAAATTTGATCTCGGACCGACCATTATTCTCGAAACTATTGCCAGTGAAAGTTCTAACTTTAAAACTCGGAATTGGTCCAGTATTAAAAAAATTACCAGTGTTTACAGGCACAAAAAAGGCCCACATCGTGGTAAAACTAATAGTATCTCTGCTCCACATCGAAGCTAAAACAAGTTGTATTTTATGATTTACGATAAACACAATTGATTTGTTTTGATTTAGGAGACATGAAACAACAAATTAAGATAAAATTATAAGATACATTAATTGCACTTTCAAAAATTAAATATCTTCTTAGTTATTGTTTTATTATTTTTTTTTCTCCGGCTTCACGATCCATTGAGGATCTTTACCGCCAAAACTACCTCTTCCCATTTATCTTTATCTTGCGCTATAACTTGCCAATCCGTCCCAACTTTTCGGTCTACCGCATTCCATATCTCATTTATGCTGTCTATCCATCTTCTTCGTGGTCTTCCTCTTGGTCTTCTCCCCGCTAACGTCTAAGTCGTTATTTCTTTTATCAGGCAACCATCCGCTTGCCACGCATGTCCGCCCTATTGCATTCTTTTACTTTTAACAAATTGTACAATATTTTATCTTTTGTATAGGTTCCCCAGTTGTGAAATCGATCTTAATTCCGATTGTTGGGTTTCGGTATTAAATACTGGACCATGTATTTTTCTTAAGATTTTCCTTTCAAATCTACTTAGTTTTTCTTCATCACCTTTAGTTGTGGCCCACGTGGTACACGCATACGTCAGTATTGGTCTGATGTAGCTTACATAAAGTTTTTCTTTGACATTTTTTGATATCATTTTTTATTTAAATAGGGTCTCCATTGCGAAATAACATAGATTTGCTGCATTCAGCCTCACATTTATGTCTTCGTGCATAATATTTTTGTTGTTTAGAGTTACTCCAAGGTACTTAAATTCTTTAACTTGTTCGAATTCATTATTTTCTACTTTAAGGTTGAAGCTATCCTTTTATTATTATTATTAATATTAGTTTATTGTTATTTCTTCTTATTCGCTCTCCCCCACTTCTTTACGGTCCAGTAATGTTAAGAATGAGTCATAATTAAGGAACTATGTATAATATTGTAGAAAAATATAAAACTACCAGCTACTTGTTGCCTTTTGTATTAACTTATAAAATTTGCTTCATTTGCTCTATCTCCAATTATTTACGATTATCATAATTCTAAAACGCACACAACAGTATTAACACTTATTTGTTGTGTCCTAAAATTACGACTAAAAAACTTAAAAAACAAAATAACTTAGTACTCCCCCCCCCCTAGGGAGATGGGAAATGGGTATAAATTAAATCTGAGACTATTGACGTGTGGAGACATACCAAATAAATATTCCTAATAAATTTCAGTTTGATCTGACTCTTTTTCTCGAAATTATAGCCAGTAAAAATTCTAACTTTAAAACTCCTACATTTTTTTATTTGTTTTTATAAATTTTTGCTATGAAGAAGTAAACTTTTAGGATTATAATGTAAATGTCGTTAAAGTAATTGTATATTGTTTACAAAGTCAAATCAAACACTCTTTTTGGAGAAGCTAATTGCGCGTTTCAATGCTTTAGATACACAACGAAAGACCGGTGGTTCAAATATTTTCCTATAGGAGTTCGTACAGGTAATAAACAATAATGGGCAGCCCCATGCCATTGTCTGCGTTCGCAATCACGATACTTTTTCAAATAACGGCCATCACTTATCAAATAGGTACGAAAGTTCCTAAACTGACTGGGGGCGTTGTTTTTTTTATACCTGTGGTTTTTACGTTATCTTAGGTGTGTGTGTGTCATGTAAATGATAAGTCACTAGTTTAATACAATCAACGACAAGTTGAATAATAATAATAATCATATTTAATAGCGCATAATAAAGAAAGCGGATAAGCTGTCAGCTGTCTCCTAAACGTTAATTTACGGTCGATACGATATGGTGTAACAATATTGCAGGTGGAAGCCCGACTCTCAGAAAAAGCGTGAAATTGTAAAAATTTGCCATTTTTGAACGATAATATAATAAAAAATACTTGGCAAAAACTCAAAATTTTACCAACATTTTTTTAAAAAAAATAATAATCTAACAGAATATCTCAAAAAATATGGGAGTTCCAAATTAAATATTAAAAAAGTTGATATCACACATGCACGCACTACATAAGGTACAATTTTGTATTTAAGCGTTAAATGCGCACAATATAACACCTAACCACATCCAAAAGTCAAAATTTGAAAAAAATCAATAGCTGCTATAAAAATTGCCCGTTGTCGACCTTATTGAACACCTGTGCATTGGTACGCAGTACAAAAAATCATACTATTTAACTAAACATGATTCTAGTTAAATACGGGTTATCGTCATACACCTGTATTGAAAAATTGTCGGCGAGTAAGAAATATATTGTCGCCGACTATATGTATAAATATAATGTAAATAATTTTACTTTTGAAATTTCAATTCGTAATCAGGAATAACCAAAGAAATACTAATAGTGGTTTATATTCGGAGCCTTAAGCTTCACGCCCGTGGAGTGCTCAAAGATTGAATCTGTCTATCCGGAAAATTAATAAAAGTCCCTTTCTTCCTCTGAACTATTGTTCTGATGGAACTATTGTTCTTACGTCTCGTTGGATAGACTGAACATTACAAATTCATACCACCCCCTCTCATAGAAATAAATGATTAACTTCAACCGTTCGAGGACAGGACATAACCTATTTCTATTCCACTCTTTAATGCTCTCCCTTAACGTTTCCACATTTTTCACTCGCCACGATGATGAGCATTTGCCTGTGAATTCCCTCATCTGCTCTGGTGTCCTGCTAATTTCCAACTTCACCTGCCTCTCACCGTCACTCTTTCTTTCTATGAAATTAACCTTTTTGACCTTATTTCTATACTTTATTTTTCGGCAATACATTGTGTTCTTATATTTAGTTATGAGTCAGGCTTTGTGTTGTAGGTATACAATTAATCTTAAGTCATTTTTTTATTGTAAATATCGTTATCTTTTTTTATCTATTAATAAAATATGTACAATATTTTATCGATAAACAGTCGTACATTAGTAAATTATTAAAACTGTATAATGCCATCGCCCAATATTCGTTCTACACGTGGCCGTAAAATCAACAAGTAAAGCAAAAGAAATTAATAAATATTGCTTTAATTTAGTGTTATAATTTAAACACAGTGCAATATATTTGCACATTGTCAAATATATTAAATTGTACTGTTTTAGTTGACATATAAGCCCACCGATAGGACAAAAAAAAAATCACTTTACTCAGATATTTTAAAAAGCTAAAAGAATTCATATTTTTCTTACAAGTTCTATCGTTTAAATTACAAAAGTAAGTATTATTATGCTACAATAAATATTGTGAGTACACTTTTAATACATTTTTACTAATATAATTACCATAAATAAAATTAATAACACAGAAATAAAATAAAAACACAACATTGCAAATCAAAAAAAAATTTAAGCTTTGCATTGTAGGTAATAATTAAATAGTAACCGTGTCTAATATAACATACATTTATTTTTTTACAGTTAAAATGAAACTTCAATTAATCTTACTAACACTTGTTCTTGTAAACGTTTTGGCACTAAATGATTGTAATTATTTTATTTTCACACTTACCCACTAAATATAGTAGTTAAATATGTATAAAAAAAAACGGTTCATTATTGAATTTTTTCTTACAGATGAATATAAAAAGACGATGTTCATTACAAGTCAGGAAATATTTTTCATACAAATTAATTATTAAATTTTACTGTTTTTATACTAATGTTTTAAATTATTTATTACAGACTTACACATCGGTGCGGCTTTTACAGAAAGTAATACATATACATGAGACTATATTATATAATTTAGTAAATATAATATTTTATAAAAGTTTTGTTTTGTTGCGATACTTTACGCATTTGCAACTACCCTCCCTAAAGCGTCACCAAATTTTGAGAAAATTACAATATTAAATATTGAGGGCTTAATTTTTTACAGTGTCCTTATCTACTTAAGCTTAGTCTATAATTAAAATTTTTAGAAGCCCATCGTAAGAGGAAGTAGAGATATGAGGGTGAGAAAAACCGGGTGAATTGATTTATGTAAAGTTAGACTGATATTGCGGGTACGGGTGCATTAACCTTATATTATATTATGGTCTACCATTTAGCCTGTACACAATGGTGTACTCTTATTCTGAAGAATTTTATGTATATTATAATTTTATTTATTTTTAAGACTAAACCATATTTTTTTTAGACGCAATTGGATTGCTGACAGTAATTAAAAATTTTATTTTTAATAGAGATATACCAATGGGTAATTATAACTCTATAAAAAAATAAACTTTTAATAAAAAATAAAAACTTATATCAAAAACGAATTATTGTTTTGTGATGATAATTTCAGGGAAAATTGCTATGATGTTGTCTGTACCGGGTAATAATTTCTTTGAGTTTAATGCACATATTTCACATAGTGGTTTGATAACTAATAATTAAAAAATATTTTAATTTTAATTTTAGAATTAGCAGATCGTAACAGGATGCAACGTAACTCCTTTTATGCATTCACTATTGTTTATATATATCTTCACAAGAAAATGTGTTCAAACAAATAATATATTTTTTTTTTAATTATAGAAGCCATAGCGGACCAAATTTTTTTGCAAGATGAAATAACCCGGGTGACATGCAAGTATAATATTTTACATTTGTATTCGAACAATCGTTTGAATTAATAATTACTCAGTTTCAAAAAAAATAGAAAAAATATTAAATTCAAAATAATAAGTCAGTATGGATAATAATTAAAAATTTGATGATTATTGAAATTTAATTGATTTTGTTGTATAATATTTCATATTTATTAATTGGTCTTAGTACTCTTAGATAAAGACTGGCTGTTATAGATGAAATATAATAAAACTAGCATTTATTTATTTTATAATGATTTAAAATTTTTAATATTTGATTCAGTGGTCCCTGTGCCTCCAGTTGACCCAAACCGAGGTAATCAATCTAATTTTATGATAGACGTAAACAAACTTTTAGGTTAAGGTTATACATTAAACTTAATAAGCTATAAGAATATAATTTACTAAACATGTTTTATTTTAATTAATAACTCAACATTTTTTTTTCATTTTTATCCTTCAAAATAAAAATATTATTTATTGTTGATTAGTCACGAAACTTTTCTGTATGTATCTTTTAATTTAATTATTATTTTCACTAGTATTAAATGTAATATATTATTAACTTGATGACTACTACTATGAATATATAACAGTAAACTAGGTTATTAATTTAGGTCATTATCAAAATATAAGTTTAATTAAATTTCTGAATGTGTCAAGCCGTGGAATTTTCGCTTCTCATCGGCAATGTTGATTATAATTTTCATGAATTATAAAATTTTTGAGTGTCAAGTATAAAAAGATGAATTTCAAATTTTGAAGGAAGTTCCATGTTAAAAAAAAAAATATTACAGTTTTTGAAATTATTATTGCAAAGTCACTAACAACCCATTCAATCTTTTTTTTCTCATCAACTCTTAAACTCATTCATTTTTGCAGATTTTGGCATATACATCATGGGAGATATTGGAGAAGCTAGAAGATTTTTTATTAAACAGCTTATAAAACCTTTACTCATCGATGCACTTAGTAAATATTAATATAGTTTTGTACTGGGTTTGCTATTAACTAGTTGCACTTATGCCGTTTTATAAACTACTCCTTAAATAATTTTTTTTTCTACGTTTACGACGATATTTTCCATCCAATCAGATTTCTAAAACATTACTTTTTCATTTATAATTTGATAATAAAAATATTAAATTTTAATAATAATAATTAATAGAAGTAATATTAAATTATATTTATAAATAATATTTATTATAGATTCTTTCTCGTCATAGTATCTCGAAAATGTAGTTTTTATAATAATAATAAAAGTATAGAACTCGCACAACACAAAAACTATACTTGCTAGCCTGTTATCTTAATATATACTTGTTGAATAACAATATGATGAACCTAGTTTTCAATTTTTTTATTGTTCTTTAATAGTTGTCCGTGACGCTTTTTAATCCGTCGCTTAGGCGATGTGTTTTTATACCATCACATGGTACAAAACAATAATATTATAATTTACAACAAAAATATATTTATTTAAATTTTAACAATAGAAAAGCTTCCAATAAAATACTTTGTGAAGAAATGTAATATATGAACAATGGTTTCATACAGAATGCTTGACTGTGTACCCCCCAGTTAAATAGTTTTTGACTTAGAGAAATATATGGACACTGATAGCCTGTATATTGTAATAATTCGAATATTACTTTTCTTTGGTTATTATTATCATTTAGTGACCACGTTTAGCACAATAAAGAATAATAAATAATTACCTAGTAAATTAAATTTTTTTTAAGCAATTTTTTTTCGTTTGTATTTTTAGATGGAGGCGATCGAGCTTTCTACGATTTGACCGCGATGTGTCGTTTAATAGGAATATACAAAGATTTAAAATGTTCAAATTCTTTTATAAAAAATACTGAGGCTGACTATCATGGTAATTGTACCATAAAAAATTTTGAAAATAGTTATAACTATTACAAATTATTGGACGGCCAAATTTGGGAAATAGTGTTCAATGAGCACGATATATCAACACAGTTACTAATTGAAGAGGTTGTTGATTGGAAAATAGATTAGTAAACACAGCTAAAACATATTAAAAATTATATAGTACTTACTGTTTTTATTTTATGTCAATAAGATTTATAATATTGTACCACACAACTATCCATATTATCGATTATTTCAATGCATTATTTCATAATAAATAGTTTTGCTCATGATTATATGCATATTTAGTGTTTATGTGTTGTTATAAATTATGTATGATATTACAAATGTAAAACAAATGGCATTTGTTTCTCTTAAGTTTTATTGCATCCGATATATATCTGTTATAACTTGTATACATCCAACCAACTTACTGGCCATCCCATACAAATCACATTAAATTATCAGTAAAGAATCTGAAAGATCTATCAAGCGACAATTCGTTTGTGAAAAATGCAATGTGTTAGACAACTTGCTTATTGGTAGCGAATGACTTTTTACATAATTTGCACTCAAATTTCCTCACGACTCGCTACTATGGTTGTACTTCCAACAAACTGTTATCCTCTTCTTCTACCTCTATAAGAATCTAGTAGTAAAAATAATCATCAATTTCACACATTTGATACTATAATTGAATACTCTGCATCTGACAGTAATCATAATACATTTGGTGACATTTGGAATTTCTGTGCATCACTGTTAAAAGCATTAGAGTTTATAGCTAAAAATATTTGTATTTAGTGCTTTACTTTCCAAAATACAGAGTTTTCAAACCTTTAATACTCTTATTCAAATAAAAGCGCACTAAGCGGCCAAGATGGATTTGTGGAATAGGTAAGACAAAAAAAAATATGAGTAGATAAGAAGTTTAGGAATAACGCTATTAGCAGAAAAAATGAGAGGGAACAAGTTAACCAAGTTATCTGTAATAGAGAAGTAATTAAAAAAATAAGTGTAATCAATAAAAATTGTAAACAATTTTGTCCTGTATTATATTCGATAATCTAGTACAAGTCCATCATATAAATAATAACTGCTGTTAAAAAAAAAAAAATAGTATAAACACATTACTGTATTTAACCACGGCAGTTATATATATATATATATATACTATACGAATTAACTAAGTAGAAAAAAATAAAAATCCTAAACCCTCATAATTATTTAAAGTAGGTAATCAACTAGACAAAAACGGTTGGTATCATAATATTGCACTTATTATATGAAATCACAGACAACTAAATCGTGTATCTGATTATAGTAGATACAGGATTAATTGGGAAAAAACTGATTCGTCTACTTATTACACAATTTAAAAAAAAAAAAAAATACTTATGTTTTGCATATTGTTATTCATTTAAAGAGATTCACGCTTGATTGTTTAAATTATCCAATATTACATAATCTGCTTTGTGTAATTTTTAATTTTTTAGTTTATCGACTTGTAGCTCTGATTTTGTATAAAATAGTTTAATATTTTATGTTAAAATTAAGATATATTTTAATAATAATTAAAAATCATGAATTATAATACGTTATATTATGACTCAATCAAATCTCGTAAAAATTTAACTTTGTGCTACTGCTCCTATACTATTTTTAAAAAAACACAATTTTTAAAATGTCCATATAAGAATATTGTTAAATATGTAAATGTAACAGGCAACAGCCGACAGCTAGTGGCTATAAACGTTAGTAATATTTAACTAAGAAGTAATATATGTAAGTAAAATTTAATGTTTTCTCCACCACAACACCAGTATAAGATTTAGTTTTAGTTTTAATGTTAGAAACTCAGTTTTTCTTTAGAACACAGCACATTTTTACATTTTTCTTTAGATCCAATTTAAGGATCTATAAAAAGGTTTTTTTAGTTGCATTTCGTTTGTACATTGTCAATCCAGTAAAATAGAAGTATAATAGAGCTATGAAAGAATATAATCTATGAAGTATAAATAGTTAGTCTGAGATTGCTCTAATGGAAGTATATAATAATTAAATATTGTTTTATTTTTTGAGAATAAACGATTATAATTTAAATTATGGAGTACAAACACAATATCAACAGATTTTATGATTTTACTAATTATATAAAACAAAAACTGAACAAACATAATAAAATAATTAAAGCTGTATAATTATTCTTATTACAAATGGTCATAAAATCAGCGACTAATAAAGAAGTAATTTAAACAACGTCTAATTAAACGTATGTTAAAATATAAAGACACAACAATAATATATTTACATACTGTCTTGTATAATAAATTGAACAGTTTAGTTCGATATATAAGCCCATTAAAAAGTCGAACGAAAACCACTCCAACACAGATAGTTTAACAAGCTGATATTTGACTCAAGTTCTATTCTTTGAATTATTCAATTAAGTTATATTATTCGACATCAAACACAGTAAGTATGACATTAAGACATTTTAATTTTTTTTTTTTTTTTTTATCTTTATTTTTTGCAATAATATTTTAACCGCTAGGCCACTTTAATTAATGGTTTTGTATTGAAATCGTACCTATACAAAAAGTATTTCATGCATTAAAAAGTTTAAAAACGCTATCCCGTCCCTTTCAGTTCCAAGTAAAACTCTCAAACTTGAGGAGAATTGTTTTAAGTTACTACTCATACAGATACACGGTGAAAAATCAATCAAACAAGTTTACGCCCATGGTATTTTCTACATTCACTGTATATCTGTAGTACTATATCTATAAGATATTCCACTTTTGTAAGGAATTCAATTTATAATTTTTAATAAAGTTAAAGCTTGCCCAAATTTAAAAAAAATGCAAACACATACATTTTTAGGATGTTTTTCTTAGTAAATTTATTTTCATTTTTTGTGCCGCAAAAATTTCTTTTTAGGTGTTATCTATTTCTTATATAAAATCTCGCTGAAGTGGTTAACAATTTAACGCGTGGATCCATAAACAAAAACAAAGAAACAGTAAAATTTATAAACACATCATTGTAAAACAAAAACTTTCTCAGCTTTTTTACAGTTAAGATGAAACTTCAATGCATTTTAATATCGCTTGTCCTTGTCAAAGTTATGGCAATAACTACAAGTAATTATTTTATTCTTACACCCCACTTAAATGAGATAGTTAAAAATCTAAAAAAAACAATATTTGTTTTTTTCTTTCAGCGGACTATAAAATATCGGTTTACATTACAAGTGAGTATATATTTTTTTATAAAAAATAAAAATATATATTTTTGAATTAGATGGTTTTGTTACATAATATGTTTTAAAAATTTATTTCAGACTTACAGTTCGAATGGGCTTTTAATACAAGTAAGATACACCTATTTAATATGATTATACTAATATTAAATTGTTTTGTTATGTTTGTCTGAATTTATGATGATTTATAAATTAAAAACTATAGTTCCTATAATCTGTTTGGATTAAGAATGTACAGTTGTTATACAAACAACGTGTAGACACTTTATTTATGTGACCCAAATAATTTCTACGAAAATTAGAAGTTTATGTTATTTACTTTGAGCAAACTTGGCTATACCAAATAACTATTTAATCTAATAGGCTGAATGGTGTTAAGTTAAATGACCTCCTCTTAAAGTATATTCAAATATATTTTGATTTTCATTGACATTTTTTTAAAACTCCAACCGTTATTTGTTTATAGAAAAAAATCAATTGCAGACTGTAGTTAAAGATCTTGTTCTTGGAAATAAACCAATTGGTAATCATAATGATGATGTAATGATTATAAGAGATGTACAAATATGTTGTATTAAACATAAAATAGATATCTATTTTAATAATAATTAAACGCCATATCATTAATTAACTATTGTTGTACTATGTGAATTTCAGGAAAATTTCTATGATGTTAGCTGTACCAGGTAATCATTGGCTTTGCGTTTAATGGACATAGTTTCACATTGTTGTATGATGATCATTAATTATAAAAAATTTTCGTTTAAATTTTAGAATTAGCAACCACTTCAACTTTACGAGGTAACCACTTAAATATATAATAGATGTATATATGTGTGTATATGTATAATGATTTCTATCATAAAAAAATATGTACATATAAAAATAATTTTTTAATTTTAGAATGTGTAGTAGATGACCAGATTGATTTGCAAACAGAAATAACCCGTGTCACTTGTAAGTATAATGTTTAACATTTATCATCCGGTATTTGGTGAAATAATAGTACGGTGTACTCTGTGAATGAGTTAGGTTCCCAAAAATACATTTACCAAATATCGGAGAAAATTGTGATTGTTTGAAATTTGACTGTCCTGCCTTATTTGTAAGGAATAAAGAAAAACAGTATACATTTTGATTTTTTTACTAAATTAGCATAAGTGTTTATTAGTTATGATAAAATTATGTAGGCTATATTTAAAATTTCAATAAAAACCATACTACACCTAATGTACTCAACAAATGAATCAGACTTAACAAAAATATAGTTTTAAATTTACATTTAGATAGTAGCAATTAAATCATTTGTTATTATTTTTTCTTACACAGAATAGATTATTTTTTATACATTTTTTTTATTAAAATATTGATGGTCGTTTGGTAAATAATTCAAATCGTTGTAAAATATTTTACATTGGTTAATTGGCTTAAGTAATCTAAGTTTAAGAGTAAAAGTTATAAAATTAAATACAAAAAAAAAGTATTTTATTTATTTTAGAATTATTTGACATTTTATACTTTTGTTACAGATATCCCTGCGCCTCAAGTTGACCCAAACCATGGTAATCACTAGTTCGTTAGACGTACATAGCTCAATAGACTTAGATTATAAATACAACTTTTTATAATTTAACAGATGTTATTTAGCTTGATTTCTCTATCTCGCAAAAAAAAATATAATAGTCTAATTCATCTTCTTGGCTGATTCAATTTCCTAAATCATTTTCATGATGAGAAACCGTTGACGTTGGCAATATTATATATCGATTAAAGCATTTTAAACGTAATAGTGTACTTAAAATCTATCTCCTCTATATTCTTTCTGTAGGTCGGTAATAAAACCAGCCAAGTTATATGGGTCGGAATTTGGGACAGTATATAAAAAAATTGAACAGAGAAAAAGTGTAGCAGAGATGAGAATTTTAAGATAGATGAATGGAGTGACTAAGAAGGAAAGAATAAGAAATTAATACATAGGGAAGTCTAAGAATTGCATCAATTGTGGAGAAAATGAAAAAGAATAGGTTGAGACGGTTCAGTCATGTTATGAGATAAGATAAGGCAGAGGCGGTGAGAGCTGTTATGAATGTAGAGGGAAAAGAGGAAGAGGAAGACCAAAGGAAAGATGGATGGACGGAATACAGAGTGATATGAGGATAGCTGGGGTGTTTGAACGAGATGTAGAAGACCGAGCTCTATGGAGGTGTAGAACTAGGGTAGTCGACTTCATTTAGTTGGGAGTGTAAGGCGAAGATAAAGAAGAAGATATCATTAAAAATGTTATTAGATACCTAACGACCAATTCATTCAGTACACTTGAAATGTATTGCAATTACGTCACAAGCAAACAATTTAAATTTATTTCTACTTAACAACACGTAATGTATTTATTTTCGTAGAATGTCGCTATGATGTAATGGCAGATCTGGGAAAAGATAGAAGAAAAATCACTAGACAAGTCATAAAGTCTTTAATCCACGCTGCAATAAGTAAAATATATTAATACAAACTTGTCTTTGTTTTGCTTTTAATTATAATAATGCCGTTTTAAATACTACTTAAAAACATTTTCTTTTTAACAAAAATATTATCTTGCGCAATAATGAATAAAAAAATTTAAATAGTAATTTTTCATTAAAAAAAAAGGGTAAGTTAAGTTTAACAAATTAAAAATACAACTTTTTTTTTCAATTTATAAGATGAAGACGAATCAGCATTTGACGATTTTGCCAGCATGTGCCGTTTAATTGGACTGCTAAGAAATACGGTATTCTCGAAATCATTTACAACGACTGCTGAGGTTGACGGTTTTGGTACTTGCATCATAAAAGATTCGAAAAATGGCATTAGCCAATACAGAGTGTTCGACGGCGAAATTTGGGAAGTAGAAGTCGATCGAGTCGATGAATTAACACAATTACTTAGTGAACAGGTATCCTGTTGGTAATATGGATTAGCAAACACAGTGATAGTATACTTAGAAATTGTATAGTACCTACTGTTGTTGTTTTATGCCAATATAATATTTATATACCGTAGCTATGTCCAAATCTACCTATTGTTCACCAAACCAAATCAATGTATTTCATAATAAACAGTTTTTCTCAACGATTATAAACATAATATTTTTTGCTTTATACACTTTTTGATACCAAATCATAGAACATTGAACGGGTATAATTTTTTTTTTTTTATAAAAGTTCTTTAAATCTTAAATTTATATTTGTTGTAATATTTACATTTACAATGAAAACTTTGTAGTACAATCTTATTAAAAGTAAAAAGTTTAATTTTCTCTCCAGAACAATTTCAATTCTCTAACTTATAACAAGTGTGCACTAACCCATCGATTTATTTTAAAATAGTCCTCATTGAAAGTGGTACAATTCCTTTTACAAAATCTTTTAATCATTTATGAAATAGACAATATATTTATAAACAGGTTTATATATGTACATATTATATATATATATATATATATATAGGGTGATCCTATTTCCCAGTATTTGGTTTTTAAGTCTTTAAGTTAAAAGTAATATTTTAAAACGTATAGTATAAGTTGTGTAAAGCTTAAATCAAACACTTTTTTGGTTAAATAAACTATTTTATATATATATATATACATATATTTTGTATGGTGTTTTACGAGTAACACATTTTATCTTACTAGCTAATATAAATACAAATATACTATTATTTGTCTTTAAGGTTTAAAAAATTGATTATTTTATCAATTGTAATTATAATATAATATCCAGGTCTAACAGACACACGGGACAATGCCAGGGGCACTGATGCCCAATTAGTTGACATATTACCATCTTTGGACCGCGACCTAATTAATCTCAAGCCATTACCCAATATCTCGTATAACTTAACAATTTTATATTTTTTTTAACTTATCGGTACTCGTTTGTCCGTTCAACTCCGCCATTGCCTTGAATAACTGCAGAGAACGCTTTAGGATCCAGTTAGAGGTGTAATACATATGTACATAGATTTACTTATTTAATAAACCTGTTTGGGTTAGGTTTGGGTTGTACACTTGAGAGTTAATTTATTTAGAGGTACGATCGCCTGTTGAGCTCCTCGGGCAATATAGCAAATATATAAAGGAGACTTTAGGAATATTTATGTGTAGATACGGCTGAGCCATCCGTCCCGTCTCCGAGTCCACTCATTTAACCTTATCGACTGTCGTTTCGGCCTAGCCTAGCAAACTAGCCAAACAGACACGTTACAGTGTGTTACCAGTTTATGCACATCGGGGTTTTATGGTATCCAATACTCTTTCCATCTGTGATTTATATCTTAGCGCACGACATGACATGGAATGTGCCAGGCAGGGTTCCAGCAATGCCAGTGTATCTTTACAAGAACCAATTCAACCAGTTTTTCTAATCCACATATCTCTATTTCCTCTTGAGATAAGCTTTTGAAATTTGAAACATAGATTAAACTTAAGTAGCTAAGGACAATGTGAAAATTTGAGTCCTTAATAGTAAGTCTTTTCAAAAGGGAAGAATTTCAAAGTTTTCATTTCTGTTACTCGCTCACTCACTCATAATCATCATCAAAATAATAAAACACTTCCCGTGTAGGTAGAAACGTGAAATTTGGCACAAAGGCAGGTCTTATAGTGTGACTGAAGGGACAAATTTGAAAGTTGCAATTTTTTCAAAGTTAATGCCGCTTTATGATGTGACGTGCATGAATGTTCCTTGATTAGTTTAGCACAGGTTTTTATTAATAAACCGCAGATTTCCGCGCCGTCGAAACTGTTCCCAAAATTCAAAATGCTCCCACCAATGCTTTGTAAAAACACGACGCCCACGATGATGAAGCCAGAAAAAAGGAATGATATCTCCAACAAAAACGTAACAGTTAAAAAGGGCCAAGTTCTAGACACCCCCATCCAAAAAAGTCATCCTGTCAAAGTAGTGATCTCTACATGGTGGCAAAATCTGCTATTTCTTTAGTTTATAACCTCAATTCACTCCTACTTTTATGAGCAACACTGCTCTTTGTTTTGTATTGCTTAACACTTGCCCAGTTTCTAAATGAAGCATAAAACATCATTATCAAATATAATCACTAAGGAGTTACGTGGATGATAGGAAGAAGATAACTTAGAACGAAAGAAAAACGGTTCAGATCCTTTCCCATTAGAGTAAGCCAATCAAAATAGTGGTAGCTACATTGCGGCTAAGTTTATTTTTCGAATCTGTTATGATCCAAGTTAAAAATCGTCAACCTCGGCAGTCATTGTAAATGATTTCGAGAATATCGCATTTCTTAACAATTCAATTAAACGACACATGCTGGCAAAATCATCGACTTCTGATTCGACCCCATCTTATAAAATAAAAAAAAATTGTTTTATTTTTAATTTGACAAATTTAACTTTCTAACTAACAAAGTTAATGATTGTGCAAGACTTGACTATTAAAAGATAGTAAGAATATTCAAAGAAAAATAATTACAATATCCAGGGTGTTCATTAAGTCCAACCTAAATGAGACCAATAAACTAAAAAATAGGGGAGTTGGGTTGAGCATGACTTATTTTTCATCGACATTTAATCAAATACAATTAACCAAAGAAGAAAGAATTCATTTTATTAATCAGAATATTTTACGATAGGTTAATTATTAATAAAATAAATTAGTAATATTCTTGTTGTGAATTTTAATCTTAATACTTTCTTTGTAAAATAATCAATGTGAAAAGTTATCACCGAAGCGACGGACCTTTATAAGATAAATTGTATGTTAAAAATGCTGTTTAATTTAAAAAAATACAGTACTGTTGAATAAATGTTCATATATGATTTTACAATTTAACTATATAATTTGTGCATATATATTTATCAATTTATTGTGACACGCTTGTTTAATGTATTTACTTACAGTTTTCTTGTTCATTATATTATAATACATTATAATTTAATATTATGTTTGACGTTTACTGTCAATTAAAACTGATGCTATAAAAAATCAGCTGTGTAGTGTACAGCTGTGAAAGGGAATTTAATATACTTGACATTTCACGGTCGATTACAAATTGGTTAATTCCATGAAGATAAAAATACAAATTATCAAAAATAATTACATTATTTTTTGTCATCTTAAAATTGTATAATGGCAGAAAAAATTTAATTTAAAATAATTACACAATTACAAAATTTCAAATTTGCAAAGTAAAAAAGAAATCGGCTACATGCTGAAGGTAATACAATTATTTGTTAATCGAAATTAATATCTCACTCCAATAAATTAGTAAATCCATTTCCAATAGGTCTTCGAGCTAGTATATACAGAAAATGTTTATAAACGTAGTACTTATTATTTAACGATAATTCATTGATAACATTTTATAAAATGCGTGTGTATGGCTAGAAAAGCAGAGTTTTTTAACACACTCAATACAAATAATTACATTAATGAAATAAAATATAAACCGATGAGAAATTTTAATTGAATAATTTCTTGTGCGAGCTATAACTGACCAATACTAAATTAGTCACGGCGCACTTCCTGGTAAAGCGAAGTCAAGAGCTAGTGAATCACATTTTTTATTTTTTGTAAAAAGTTCATGCTCTCATATAGTTTAATAGGTATTTTTAAGCAAAAGTCGTCCACGCTTTATGATTTCCGTCCAGCATGAGTGCGCATATGTGCTTTAAAATAATCGCTATGTGTAAATGCTTTTTGACATATTGAGCAACTATACGTTTTTTCCCCACTGTGTATCTTCTGGTGTCTAATAAGATTGCTAGAGCAAGTAAAATGCTTACTACACATATTACACATGTATGACTTTGCATTAGTGTGCGCCCGTTCATGCACCTTTAAATTTGAACTTGACGCAAACAGTTTTCCGCATATGTTGCACTTATAAGGTTTTTCACCAGTATGCGTGCGAAGGTGAACCTTGAGATGCATTTTTTGGGCAAAACCTTTGCCACACATATTGCACTTATGCGGTTTTTCTCCGCTGTGTACCTGACGATGTCTAATTAGATTTGACAAGCAAGTGAATCTTTTAGCACAAACTTCACATTTATAGAATTTTTCTTTATTATGAATACGCTCGTGTACTTTTAAATTTGAGATATGGGCAAAAGACTTCTCACAAATATTGCATTTATACGGCTTTTCTTTAGTATGCACGCGTTTATGCACTTTGAGATGCATGTTTTGGGCAAATGATTTCAAGCATATACTGCATTGATATGGCTTTTGTCCGCTGTGAACTTTCTTATGATTAATAAGATTGGACGATGATGTAAAACACTTTAAACAAATTAGACATTTGAATGGTTTCTCTTTAGTATGAGTGCGCTCGTGTATTTTGAGCGAAATCTTTTGAGCAAAACATTTCTGACAAACGCTACACTTAAATGGTTTTTCTCTACTATGCAATCTCCGGTGTTTACTGAAATTTGAAGAAGAAGCGAAGCTTTTAGGGCATTCTTGGCATTGAAAGGGCTTCTCCCCAGTGTGAATACGCTGATGTATTTTGAGGGATATCTTCTGAGTGAACGTTTTTTTGCATACAGAACATTCATATGGTTTTTCTCCGCTATGTACTGCTCGGTGCCTATTAAGATTAGTCAAGCATGTAAAACCTTTGCTACAGACATTGCATTTGTACGGTTTTACACCAGTGTGCATTCGTTCATGAACCTTCAGCTCAATATTCTGACGAAATGTTTTATCGCAATAATTGCATATAAACGGTTTCACTCCACTGTGCACACGCTCATGTACTTTGAGACAAGAGCTCTGAGCAAACGGCTTATGACATGTGCCACATACAAAAGGTTTTTTTTTACTATGAACCCTCCAATGTTGATTGAGATTAGATGAGCAACTAAAACGTTTATCACACACATTGCATTGATAATATTTCCTACCATTGTGAATGAAAACTTGATGATTTTTTTGATATTTTTTTGAGAGACAGTTCTTTGATGTTGAATTTAAATTATTGTGTTTTTTTTTCAAGTGATGAGCCATTTTCTTTTTAGTTGAAAATGATTCCTCACAAAAATTGCATATCAATGATTTTTTTTCGTTGACAGTGTCGTCCAGCTCCGTTCTCTCAACATGAATCTGTGTCGTGGAAAACCACCCATCAATTTCATCCACTTCTGTTTTTATTTCATCTTCCTCCAACAGAATTTTACTCGTCCTAAAAAAAACCATGCATATTTTAAGTAATGAAATTATGAACTAAAATTGTACTGTTAACTTCAAGTCCATATTGGAATATCAAACAATTTTGAAGACTAGCATCACAAGTTGCAGTATACTAAATTGACTAAAATAGACTAAATCTGTAGTCAAAAAACCAAAAAAGGGGGGAAATACACTTTGACTGTAGTCAATTTCTTTAGGTTGCTTTGTTTGAGGAAATCAACAGTCAACATATATCGAAAATTATTGGGGTGGGGGTAAAAAAAACGTTGCTTGAGACACAATCATAAATAACAGATTTACTTACTTATCTGAACTTTCATCATGCCTTGTTTGGACATTCCCAGTGTGAAATTCTCTCATATGATGGCCGATTTGTTTTTTGGTAGCAAATGACTTTTGACAATTATTGCAGTCATATAAAAGTGTTTTGTTTACGTGGTTTTCTATTGATTCCATATCCAATAACTCATTTTCTCCTTCTTTTACTTCTATAAGGCTTATAAAGTAACAATTATCATCTACTTCATCCACTTCAACTTTAATACAATGATTTTCATCTACCTCAATACTATCATTATCATTCATTCTGTTGAAAAAAAATAATATTAAATTAACTCAATTTAATAGATATGCTATTGATATATTTAAAAGCAACAACAAGTTGATAGTAAAACTTCATCAATCTGATGTTTTTTAATACTTCCGATTATTGCTTTGGAACAAATTTAATTTCAACCAATTTTTTTTTTTATAAAATATTTTTTTTTTTATTAAAATAAAGACAATATTTACAATCTGTATACAATAAAACAATAGGTAAATCAGCTGAAATAGAAACTAGACAAGACGACGTGAATGAAGGGAGCGTCCAGTAACACTACTTCCAAATAGGAATTTAAATTTTCAGTTTAAGGGATTAGTAATGGGTTCCTATCACTGGATAGTGCCGTAAGACAAAAATAAATATAATGGCATTTGGACACTCTAGACTCTGGATGTATACACTGGTTGTTGAACTGAAACACTGGTGTTTGTCAGAGCACTAGAGTATAACGGATAGCTGTCCGGGTTCTTCGCGGATGTCGAAGAGCCGTTGATTATACTGGATTAAAAAAAAATTAGAGAATGGGAAAGGATAGGTACAAGGTGCGAACGAATCGCAAGACACGAGTACCTAAGAAAATGTAAGCACACACGGTGCGAACGAATCGCAAGACACGTGTGTGTAGAGAGGAAAGTATAAGGTGCGAACGAATCGCAAGACACGAATACTTGGAGAGATGAAGGAAGAATAAAGTACGAGGTGCGAACGAATCGTATGACACGGGTACTTTAAGAAAGGAATGTGCACTATGCGAACGAATCGCAAGACAAGCGCACAAGGAAAGAGGATAGACTACTAGGTGTAAATGAACGAACTCTCGAACTTAAAACTTGTAGACGGACAGCGACAACCGATTACTCTTGACTGATGACATATAGCTCTGGTAAAGTCGACTGACAAAATGTTATTGACTCTTATTGACTTTTATATATTTTTACAATTTGCAATTCAGCGTTATTGTTAATTTAATCGTTTGGTCATCAGTCTCAAGTCGCCGGAAGCACTGCCCGCATTTATTTAAAAAACATGTAACCTATAATGATGACGTGGTCATCATATAACAATAGCTTCCTTACTCATAGTCTACAAGTCATTTATTACATTGTTAGCATATTTTCTTATTGTATATTTTGTATGTACAGATTGTAAATGTTATTTAAAAAAAGGGATTAGTACTTTTTATATACTGTTTTTTAATTGTATGTTAAGTGTTGAATAAATCGCTTGGCCAGTTCCGTTTTAGTCGGCGAGGAGGATTGTCGGGAATTGTGAGAGAAGCTAGCTTAGATATAAGAGAATTAGAGTGGTTGAGAGCATTCGTATGGAATTTTTTATAGTGGTAGGAACCAAGAGTTGTTAGCATTGGTATGTTGAGTTCATTGTGTAGGGTTCGGTTACTTACATACCAGGGAGCGTTTGTGATGGGACGTCGGCTTTATTGATTGAAAATATTGATGGTTGTTTAAATTAGAGATTTTAGTAGTTCCACAGACTTGAATACCTTAGGTCATTGCTGGACGTAAGATATAATATTTATACAACGAGAAAAAATAAGTTAACTGCATAAAAAACACTGTAATTTTATAGAAAAAAAAAATCTTAAAAAAAGGGAAGGCCAGGTTAAGTAAATGTATAAGGAAAAACTTCACAATAAAAAAATTATAATTCAGATTTCAACATCACAGACTTATAACTAATTTAAATATCTATCGAAATTATAATAGTGTAATAATCTAAATTTTTTAAGACATACCGCTAGTGTATTTTTTTTTACTCTAGACAGATTCTAATCCAAAACGATTTACGCAACGATAATATCAGCTTACTTAAACTAAGTGATCTTTTCTCCGTTTCAAAAAGATTATTTCGTAACATCATAAAAGTTACTCAGTAGAAGGCGATGTTAACTTAAGGTTAACACACCGTCTCTTTGAAATAATTTAATTTATATATTTCTTAAACATACCTGCGAGATTTCACTGTCCCGTACAATCCAAAGCGGTGAACGATAAGAATATAAATAATAACCCGAAACGACAAACAAGATTGTGAGTTCATAAAAACGTTATAAATAATAATAATAAAAAGGGAAAGGCCAGGTTAAGTAAATGTATAACATAGATAAGGGAAAACGTCTCAATAAAAAAATTATAATTCAGATTTCAACATCACAGACTTATAAATAGTTTAAATTTCTATCCAAATTATAATAGTGTAATAATTTATATTTTCGAAGCCATACCGTTAGTGTATTTTTATTTACTCTAGACAGATTCTAATCCAAAACGATTTACGCAACGATAATATCAGCTTACTTAAACTAAGTGATCTTTTCTCCGTTTCAAAAAGATTATTTCGTAACATCATAAAAGTTACTCAGTAGAAGGCGATGTTAACTTAAGGTTAACACACCGTCTCTTTGAAATAATTTAATTTATTAGTTTATTAAACATACCTGCGTGTTTTAATATCGCGTACAATGCAAAGCGGCGAACGATAAGAATATAAATAATAATCACCACAAAAACACTTTATAATTAAATCGGCAGAGAACAGTACAATAATTACAATAAATCAGCGAGTAATAAGTATACAGTACACACGTCATACAGTAAACACAGTACCACATACACTGGGGTGTGGCCGTTCTCGACTCTCGGCTCTCACCCCCCGAGTGTAACAATCGATACCAAGTTTGGCATTCGGCAACACAACGCTCAAATGAATGGCGACAACGGCGACGGCGGGCGCTTGACGAACCCCATTTTGTATACATTTAACCATATACCTAACAAAAATGGACGGCGCGTAGAGAGAGAGAGGAAGAGCGGCCGTACCAAGATATGTGCGAGAGAGATGATGCTAGACGCTAGTAAGCGAATACCAAAGATGTAGTCGACGGTAGACTCCTTGGAATTATATTATCACGTATTATATGTAATTACATTTTTATATAAAATAATATTATTTACATAACGCATTTTTTTTTTTAATCAAATACTGACAGTTATTTAATAAAATACAGTGTAACTAGTTCGTAACTTATACATTATCATAAAATATACTTGTTTGTTAAACGATACAAATTAGTAAAAACTATTAAAAAATAGTACTAAAAATGAGTATAAATATAGCTGTTAAATAAAATGCTAAAAACGAATACATACTAAACAGTTATAAAAATTGTTATTGTATAAAAAGCAGCTGCTGGCATTGATAAGGAATCAAAGTGATAACGATAAGAGTGATAATAACTATACAAAGTGCAAAAGGCTGTGGTCAATGTGGATTATCCACCTTAAAAATTGACAAATAATTAATTTGAAAAAAAAGGTTAATAATTAACATAGAAATATATAAAACAAGCTTCTTAATAAAAAACTATGTAGATGGACCAAGAGAGAAACAATTATGTATCAAATGATAATAATTAAATGAAAAATATTAAATTAAAATAAAATGTTGTGATGTTCTTGCTAGCGTAGAGAATATTATCGATTTTCCTTCCTTCTATCAAGTTTTCATTTGGAAATATTTTCTGATTACGCTAATTGCTAGAAATGCGTTCGAACAAATGAATAACAGAAACATTATTATCATTTGAATTTATTGTACACTCACAAATGTAATTTTCCAGCACAATGAAAAAGCCTCTAGGTGGGTAAAAGGGCAATCGTTGTTATCTTACAACAAAAAGTAGAGTTCTATAAAATTATAATAAAACCGTATTTTAATTCTTCAGGAACTTTATAATTGTAGATACCAGATAAATGATAAAACAACGGCAGTACAAATAGGCATTTGAGAATTCTTTATGTATAGATTATTTAATTATTTATTTATAATATAATGAATAATTATGATACTAATCACAAGATGT